AACGTTACCTATTTGTGTTTTCGCCCTGAGGAAGGCCCCAACATGACGGCCGAAACGTTGGCATTTGTGCCTGGAGCTCCCGAACAAACAAGTAGACCTCCCCACACTCACACTAACCTCATACACAATCACACTAATCACAAACGCTTTAATCTCCCACAACCACACGCTGCCACAACCACATACACACAACCACTCTCACACTGAGCTGAAACCGCCGTAAACGTATCCATTGATTTTCGCAATGTCTTCAGTAATTTGAATTTTGATTTTGAAATTGAAAGAGGAGTTGTATTCTTTTCAATAATTGGAGTAGCCCTGGTTACAATTATCCCCAATCCAAAATTACAATTACGAATCAGATGCATTCAATCAGTGTGTCAGTTTCATAACCCCAGTAGCGTAGCGAAATGAGTGCGGGTCCACCCACAACCCTTTTATCCGCACCCCCCCCCTTTATAAAAGAGAATAGCAAACACAGGTGGTGTTAGTACCTTAAATAATAAAAATATCCCCTAAAAATAAGTCCTCTTTTACCCGGCCCCGAACGTTTCGCCACTGAACGACTGAGAAAATGAAGCAGTTTTTCCGTAACGACGAATCCCTCAGCAAACTGAGCTACTTTCTTTTTATTAGACACTATATCCACTTCTAATCTAAATGAACTACGTATCCCAATGAATATACATTTGATTTTAAAGCAATACACACGATAATAATAATATTGATAATAATAATAATAATAATAATAATAATAATAACAACAATTTTCATAATTTTTCTCATACTCTAACAAATACATCAGAGACACTCAAATGAGCAAATGCTTGTGTTAGGATGCACTTCAAGAAAGCTTACAACTAACACAATATCGAAGATATGGTTCAATAACACAATTAGTTTGCAAATAATAGTTTTAAAAAACAGAAACCTAACATACCCACAGAAAATTATACAACGCATATGTCGAGTCTCTACTTGGAAATTTGTTATATTTTTGTGAATAAATCATCAAATTAGTCATTTATATTAATCATTAATTTTAAACATATTAAACTCTCTTATATTAGCATTGTGAAGTTATATATTAGTTTACGTAAGAAAATTTGATAATGCATTTTTGTAAAAATTGCAAAGGTTTTAGATATATTTGAGCCATGTTATCCCAGCCAAGTGTGCAATATGTGAGCAATCGCACTCCAACCCCGAATGGATGGTAAACCCGAACATCTAAGAGTCTTTCATGAATAATGTTTGCCTTTTTATACAAAATAGGTGAAGTAGAGCTAAACAAATTGATTACATGAAAGTGTTAAGTTTGGGAATGAAAATTTCTAAAACATCATGGTGAAACATGTCATCAGAAATTTTCTGATTTTCATCTTAAAATAGTCTTTAAGTGAAAGTGAGTTTTAGAAAGTAATCTCACAATTGAAGAATTCTGAGCACAAGTGGCGTAACTAAGACCTTCCAGGTGCGAAGAGAAGCATAACTGCAGTTAGAGCACCCTTGCTCTCGTCTCAGCTTCTGATAAGGACTTCCGTTTGTATTTTAGGTCTTCTCTTGAAGAAGGAATAAGGAAAAAACAGTTCGTTCAAAATATTCTGGACTCCGTTGAACATGACACAGTTTTCCTTCAATTCTTGATCAATATTTCACGACATTATTGCAATTTAAAATATAAAAGAAATAGTTCGTACCTTTGAGTGATGGTGTTTCCCCAATCCGTGAGTCACGAACTTACAAGGTTGTCACGTGTGGCGGTGTAAGACTGGAAAGAAAGTGAAAGAAAATCTTTATTTCTGACGCAACACGTTATGCACAGATTAAAAAGTGATGAGAAATAAAAAAAAAGAGATTCAGTATTCTTCTGGCTAACTGCCCTTAAAAAATCAAATGCCTTTGAAAAATGCGAAAACTTGTATTTTTGAAATCCCTTTGAAAAATACTAATTTGTACTTATCAGTGTTATGAACTGAACGCAGATAGTGAAAACGGTAGAATTGTAGTGGCACGGACCATGAGATGTGCAGGAAGATCGGGCAGCAATGCAATCATACTATACAACTGTAAGCGGGCTTTGAAGGCGCCGCTCGCCCTCCCAGGGAAAGTGAGCACTAGAACAGCACATAATTTCTCGTATTATTTATAACGACTAGGCAGTATTATAATACTAATCTGCAAAAGAGATTAAAACCAGAAAAAAAAATTCTCCGCGTTGGGATTCGAACTGATATTCTTTGAGTTAGTGTCCTATTCGTGTTACCCCCACACCCCCACCCTCATAGATAAATTTACATTTACTGGCGTTTAAAAAATTGTAACATGCGTGATTAAGGAAATAATTTTATTTTTGACGATTTTGAGACTTCCCTTATACTGAAGCTAAAAAATTAAAATTATTTAAGAATTATATCGAAAGGGACCGGCGACAATCACAGAAATGTTATATAACGAAGTTACACCTGAGACAATTGTCCCTGATTGGGAGACACGCCATCGATTCTAGTGTGTTTGACAGATGCTCTCAATGACGCAGTCAAAGGTTTGCTTGTCCAATTAGCTCCCTGTCAACTTCACATGCACAGCTCGCAGCTCTGTTGTGAAAAATTATACAAATGATTTTTAGAAGAGAGATTGAAATCGCTTAAGTAAATTATCCGGCGTGGCGCAATGTGCGAGGCCGAAGTCTGGAGGTTCTTTATTTACTTATTTACGTCAAAAACAGTTAAAACCTGTGTGTTACGTGCTCTAGGGAGAAGTTAATTTGAAGTTACATTTATGTCCAGAAGCAAAATAGGGGCCATCTCAGCATTTGTTCGAGGATCAGGGATTCTGGTCGAAAACCTCATCGAGATGGGGGTCATTGACCCAAAAGCTGAAGAACAATACTTTTTACGGGTTCTGTAGAGTTATATCATCCAAATGGTATATGTCATTGTAAAAATTAAATGTCACCGTTAAAATTAATGTTATTTTCTTTTTCGATGCTCGATGTAAGTCTCTAATTGTATAGAAACAATTGTGCAGCACTTGGAACTTAAACTTTTGCATCGAATTTAATCGTTTAATATTTTTATCGTTTAATATCGCAAGGTGTTGTAAAAAAAGGTACATGTATTATATGTGAATTTTTTGTAGTGAGCTGTTGATGGTGTCACCTGATGAATATGATTACTACGTCGAGTATTGTAGTTACAGACGACAGCTTTTTCTGAAAATATATTCCCGCTCTTAAGTAAGTCATTTTTGAAAAAACGTTGATTCATATATGAAGATACAAGGTAATGGTAAAATATCTGAATTAGAAAATATAGGCTTCCAAGAATCACGTGGGTGAGATTTGCTTATTATTCATACTTTTTTTGTAATCGAAAAGTCTGGGAGCTATAAGATGTATTTCACCAGAATATTATGCCATATCTCAGTCGGAAATGAACATTCGCGAAATATGCACAACGAGCCCTGACTGAATTTGAAAGAATTCTGAATGCGCAGCATGTCGCCCCAGACGATTCTGCCAGAGTTGTGGCGTGGTTGGGCGCACTCACAACAGCTGCATATTTTACTCTTAATTCCCCCGGGTGCTTTTTTCTCATCATTGATCATAATATATCTATTGTAAGTGCTGCCCTTATATCACGTTCTTTATCCCAGATATTTTAGTTATCAATCCAGCACAGCCATTTGTTTAAAAGAATGCCAAGGAATTAGAATTTTAACACCTTTTCATCTAATTACGCTGGGTTGGGTGTCCAAGCACAGCACAGCTTCTGCTAACTCATTTTCCTAAAAATAATTTTATTTACCATTTTCTTTGTTCTGTTTCAGGTGATAACACAAATAAATTCATGAACGACAACTGGGAGGAGATGTTGGTGTCCTTGGGGCCCATATTTTCAACAGCCATCAGTGAAATAGTGCACAGTATCCTCACAAATATATTTCAGTTGGTTCCATTCACAGACGCTTTCACTGGCACCGACAAGTATTTACCGCCATAACTCTTGCAATATTTGGAAATTGGGAATTTTTAAATTTTATTGGTTGTCCATGACAATGTTTTTATAAAATACTTTATTGTTAAGTGTGTGACTGCAGTGACAAGTAAATCATCCAAAACGTAATCATCAAATGGATGAAAACGCCATGGGGACATACGAGCCATGTCCTGCCCCTAATGCCAAGCATATTTTGCCATTTCACTCAATTTATTAAAAACAAACTACATAGACCATATCACATCCAATGGAATAATTGCTTTATGTGTAAATGAGAATTGTATTTGTTTTTAAATCAAGGTATATTTTTAAGTTATTTAAAGCACAAAATGGCGCAAAATGGAACTTCCCTTCCCTAAATTATTTCTATATCTGCCCCTGGTTCTGGAGTGAATATATCTGCAAACCTATTAAATATTTATGTGTTTGAATACAATTCAAAGATTTTAAAAAATAGTAAAAATAATTTTCTTCTTGTAATTAATTTAAATTTAGTTCATAATAATGAACTGTAATACCAAATACTTCATATTTAAATTGATTAGCATGGCATTCAGTACTTTTAATTTGAAATAAAACATCAACAATAATTAAATTGATAAAAACCAGTAAATAAAAGAAACATGGTCAGTATACTGTGATTTGAAGCCTACTGTGGTATGACTTGATGCAAATACTTAAATATTATTTAACACAACTGTATGAAAGAAAACATAAGTGTATTAAATGTTTGGATGAATCAACTTAAAAAATGTATATTATTTTAATGCACTTTCCCAATTACCTATCTCTCCGATTTGTGTGTTTAGTAGAAATATTGAAGTTTTTTAGCAATATTACTGAATAATTTTAAATGGTGTGCTATTTTTCCTCAAACTCTATTTTCCATTCAGATATGAAATATTGTTTTTCACAAAGTTTGTACAAGAACACATAATTTTAGGTAAAATCTCTGATTTATACTTATATTTCTAGTCTCTATCTTTCTATCAAGTCTCTTAAATAAATCTAATCTTTTGATTGCTATTTTCAAGGTTTGAACAGAGGAAGTAAAACTTTCTGTCACGTCGTCACGTCAATGTTTTTTTATTATGCAATATAAAACATTACATTACATACAATAAAAACTTAGGTTACAAAACAGTAGAAGAACTTGGTATATACTGGCACTCTTTATTCCTTATATACTAGAATCCAAAATATACAACACTTTTCTAAACGATGTTTCTTCATCAATGGACCAAAACGAAGCATCCATTGGGTAATTTGTAGTCATTCGAATGGTTTTGACGTTATTGGCTGTAATATCTTGCGCTCAAAATAACCTTTATATGGAATATGCGGTATTGCCCTAGAATAAATAATTTCGTACCTTAAACATCGATCTCAAAGAGTATAAATACCGATCTGACATGAAAGAAAATTATTTACTTATCTTCCCACATCTTTGACAATTGAGGCAAAGTTGACAAATTAAAAGGCGAAACATTTTTCAATGCCTTTTCGCATTTCAAATTGGCAATCATGGCAACATAAATCAGCAATCAGCAAAACGAACAATACGCAATTCGCTGATGTTAAGGTAACAAAATTTCAAGGTCTCTCAGTTCAGTCAAATCTCAAATGAAATGTGCATTTTACAGAATGAAACATTAAATTAAGTTCATTATGTTACACATTCAGAATTCTTTCAAAGTCTGTTAGCCCTCATACATCTCGTGTATTTTGAAAATGTATATTTCCGCAAACTTACAATACTTCCCTTGGAGTTTGGATGTATAAGCCCAGTCCAGTGTTTCCAATGTGTCTTGGATATGGATGAAATGGGGATCTTGACATTATTATAGAGTATCTCGTTAAGTAGGGGATGAACGTCTGAGTCATCCAAGTTGGAGTTGAAGGGATTCTCTGAAGAAGCGATCGACGGTTAATATAGGTGTTACCCAGGGGGAACATTTAAATATGATCCAAATTGTTTGGGGGCAGATATGATTTGTATTTTAATATCGTCAAGTCTAATATTATTCATTGATGAAGAAGCTTTGATTAGACATTTGATGGTACCATAATTCCTTCGAAATTGTAGGCTTGGTTCTGAGGCTTGGATAAGGATGCTCTCTATTGGCGTTGTATGGGAATATTCAATACATATCCTAAGCTCTCATGTATGTTCAGTATCCTATTTTTTTGTGTAGGTTGTTATTGGCTTGTTGAATAGTCTACGCCCATAGTCAATTTTACTGCGGACGATAACTTTGAAAGTGAGGAGCAGGTTATGTTTGGCTCCGCCCCAATTGTTATAGTTCATGCATGTTCATTCTTATTTTAATGATTCAATGATGAGGTATTTAATATCATGTTTCATTGTGCATTTACAGTCGAATATAAGGCCAAGGATTCTGGTCGAGAAGTCTCTTCTTATCGCTACCTCTCCCATTTGAAAATGAAGATCTCCAGCAATATTTTGTGTAGATATCAAGAAGCATTCTGATTTGGTTGGAGATATTATGCATTTTGAGGTTACAGAGACTAGCAAACTACTTCGTTCAATACATTTTGTTTTAAATTTTTTTGTGACTATACACGTAACGCGACTCCTAGCTGCTAAGAGCGTTGACCGCACCTCTGTTAATTACTATTATAGGAGTAATCCTCCTTTATTATTCTCTAGAGGTATTTTTTAATACAGAATTATTTCAATTGTAATATTTTTTATTAAATTGTCATCAAATTGTAGTAACATTTATTGTACGTAAATTCAGCAGTTCATTTTTTCAATGCAAAAACAACGCTGAGATATCCTTTTTTGTTTTATTCGTTGAACAATTTTGCTAATCGATTTTGTCGGTCAAGACGCTATAAACACGTAAAATCGCAATAGTGTTGAGCCGATCGTGCAAGATAGTTGATCGCATATACGTTTTGAGTCGACGCATCACCCATAAGGTTCGTTCATTTCTGGAATTTGACGTTTATTAAATATTTATCTCACTTTAAATTCCGAGTTGGTATTTTACCCACGAGTGGGTATTTCACCCAATTTTCGTGTGTGTGTATAGCTACCCACCATACCCACATTATACGCCGGACTTGCCTACACTTTTGCTATGTAATGTAAAAACCCATGATTGTAATGTCTGTTTGACAGTGTTTCTTTTTACTGTGTTTCTTTTTACGACAAACCACAATGTTTTCATGCCTGCTCTGAGTTACCCTTCTTTCGATGCGTCTGAATGCGATGTTTTGCTTTCAGGTGTCAATTAATATCAATGAAAAGATTTATTTTTGTTTATTACATCGCACTTCGCCGAACAGTTTTTGCAGGACTTCTCATACTTAACATAAATAAATATTGTAAAAAAGTAAATTTGACGCTAACTTTTTCAATACCAACTATGCTACTTTTTATCATTGCTCAGAAGTATTTGTGCCAAATTTGGAAGCGATCACTCTAGTGGTTCTTACGGTTTTGTACCACACACATTCACTCATTTTTTTATAATAGATGAAATGTATTAAACCAGAACACATCCGTACGGTAGGCACTGCCTACCTTGTCTACCCCTAGAGATATTCTTTGGATGTTGCAAGACATAAAAGTTCTACATAACTTTCCTCATTAACTTTCTTAGAATTTACAGCTTCTATGCAACTATGCAACGAGCCATATGTCCTTCATTTGTCATTTCTAAACCGGTTCGTCAGTCGTGACGTCAGTCATGGACTCTTCTACTGCTTGACAGAGTAGAGCATGGCGCACGTGACCCTTACCCACGGTTCGCGAACATCAGGGCCTCATGAAACGTGGAGGCGGGTTCAAAGGAATACAAGAAGAGTCGTGCCATTATAAATATATGTATTTAATATGTTTCGTATATTAAAACCTAAGGACCTTGTTACTGAATTATTATAATTTCATCTGTTTCACAGTGTACATTCTAGGAAAGCTATCGATTCGAATTATGTGTTTCGATGTTCTAGAAAATTACGTGATGTTTCAAAGAACCGGAACAGTTAAACGCATAATAACAATAATCACTTCATTCAGTCGGTTTGGGGGAAGACTCGTAAAAAAATAGTGCGATGCGTTAACTATGATGCGAAATTAGAAATTTTGTATTACAATAGTGTTATGATTATTACTATCATTATAGTTCTTATTTTTTATAGTGCTAGGAATTGGGGGATACAGGACAACAGGAAATTTAGGACTGTGCCATTTATTGCCAGATCACATCTTTAGACGAAGATCTACTATTTGACTGTGTGAGTGGATTGTTCTATTTAGATAAAGCCGAGCGAAGTGGCTCAGTGCGTAGCGCGCTGTCTTCGCAATTGCGAGGTGCGTGTTCGATCCCCGTTCCGGCCATCGTCACTGGAGTTTGCTATGATCAGAAGGGGAGTTAGAATGGTTTAAAAATTCCAACTCCCCCCCCCCATTGTAGTCCTTTCACCCCTCATTATCACCCTATGACTTCTTTCATCATTCCCTGCAAAAGGCAGGAAGCCAGTGTCCTAAGTTCTAAGATAAACCTGTCAGGAAATATTGAATTATCGATTTTGCAATTGTCAATACCTGAAACACGATGACAACATATCAAGCAAAAATCGATAAATACATACAGCTAGCTTGTGCAGTGAGAGAACAGACGCACGTTACAAACTTCAAACCTTTTCCAATTGTCCTATCAGCAACCGGAGTCGTACCAAAACTTCTTAGCAGATTGTTAGACGAGCCAGGCATTGACAAGAGTATTATCATCGCTCTTCAAAAATCAGTCATCTTCAGTGTGTGCTTAGTGGTCTGGAAGTTTATGAGAGGACATGTGGGATTCTTAAGCTATTAAATTTAGCTATTATATTGTAATTTCAAGTTTGATAATTTATATTGTATTATATTAACTATAGAATGTTGTCAAGGTAAAACAAATCATTTACAATGGTTTGCTGTTTTATCTGTGTGTTAGCTGTATAATTTGTATGAAAATGGAATAATAATAATAATAATAATAATAATAATAACAATAACAGTAAAAAGTCGGCCCCGTGGTCCACGTCTAGAAGAACCATGCCAGAATACACGAATGAAACATGCCAAAATATTTTTGGTTAAGTCATTTCCCACTTGTAAATTAATTGCCACGTATTTTCGGGGCGAAAACGGGTGTGAGCTGCCCTGACGCATCAAGTAAGTACACACATAAGTTTAATTCGGATCGTAGCTCGACGGCAATTCCCAAATGATTTATTGCTAATTAATTACAACGATTTGGAATAAATTGCTACATATTTTCATGGCAAAAACTCCGTCCGGAGGTGAGCTGACTTGAAGCATTTTCGTCACGAAAATACGTTAAATAAACTCGAAATTGTTTAAAATAAATAATTAATTATCAATAAATTGTTTGACATGTTTCATTCGGGTGTGCTGACATGGCAGTTCCAGCTTGCCACACTTAGGGTCATCTCGTATGTAGCTGTCTGAAGGAGAATTCTGGCGGCCAGCTGCTCTGTTCGGTAGTTTTCCGTGATTTCTCCGATCAAAAACCGGCGAATGCCGGAGCAGTACTTTAACAAACGGGCCTCGGACCGCGCACGATCTTTCCTACCTCTTCTTTGTCGTATCCTCACCCTTACACACACACACGTACATTAATATGTACTACGCTACCTCATATTCTCGGGGACCGGTCGGGAGCCAAGAGCTCGTCCCGTTTGAGGCGGTGCCTCGCTGGTAGGAGATACCTGGTTGGGGAAACCCCGTT